TTCTTTTAATTCATATTTCTACCTACACAACAAGCACCCATAAGGTATACTGCTGACGCCCGCAACCGATCGAGCTGTATATATATATATACACGGGGTGTATGTACACCTCAGTGTCAGTAAATTATTTTATTTTCCTTTTATTTTTATTTTATTTCATTTTCTTTTGCTTTTATATTCTCTTTTTCCGCGAAAAAAGAATAAAATATACAGCACTGACACGCAGAACGAGCTGCCTATACACCCCAAATAAAAACATACAGCTCAGGTGTATATGCAGCTAATGTATTTACACAGCTCTATAAAACAACCGAAATATATTATTTTTTTAGTTACAAATAGTAAAAAAAAGAAAACTAAATAAATATATCAATAAATAAAATAAATAAAATAAATAAAATAAATAAAATAAATAAAATAAATATTTATGTACATACAGAAAAAAACAACAACCGTCAAAGGAACAAATTCCGATATTTCGTTCATTTTTATGTTTTGTTTGCATTTATCTTTTCTTTTTAATCAATAAATTAATTTAATATAAATTAAATATTTTATTTTTTTTATCACCGCAGTATCTAGGGTTAAGGGTTTTACGAGTTATAAGGGTTTACTATTAGGGTTTAGGGTTTAGGGTTTAGGGTTTAGGGTTTACAAGGGTTTACAGCTACGAGGGTTTATATAATTCTTTATACTGTATATCTTATTCTATTCTATATGCATTTTTTTTTGTATAGAAAAAAGTTTATATACTTTTTCTTTTTAAACCCTAAACCCTAAACCCTAAACCCTTAACCCTAATAAAAAAACAAAAATAATAATAAATGTATGCATTTATAATTATTTTTTTTTTATTATAGAAGCATATATTTGTTTTATTTTGTTTTATTATAAATATATTTGCGAGCGGCAGACAGACACTGCAACCACTGAAAATTTATTTATCTTTTATTTATTTTTTTTTTTGGTGCAGACAAAAATAAATAAATAAATAAATAAATAAACAAATACATAAATACATATATACGTAAATAAATAAATAAATAAATGAATACATGAATAAATAGGGTAGCGCAATAGAGCGGCTAAACCCTAAACCCTAAACCCTAGCGGTGCTGCAGCAATGGAAACAAAAGAGAAAACCCTAAACCCTAAACCCTAAACCCTAAACCCTATTAAACTGTAAACCACCGTGCAAGCTCTCCTGGGGCCCCTGAATAATTTTTAGGGTTTATTATAGTTTAGGGCTTAGTGTTTTTATGGTTTAGGGTTTGGCTTTTATTATAGTTTAGGGTTATGTATTAGGGTTTATGAGGGTTTAGGGTTTAGGGTTTATTAGGGTTTAGGGTTTACTAGGGTTTGTTTGTTACTAGGGTTTATGATTTATTAGGGTTTAGGGTTAAGGGTTTAGGGTTTATTAGGGTTTAGGGCTTATGAGGGTTTAGGGTTTATTAGGGTTTAGGGTTTAGGGTTTAGGGTTTAGGGTTTAGGGTTTATTGTAGATAGTGCATGGAGTGTATAAGGAGGTGTTTATTTTTAGGGTTGATGATTCTTTTTTTTTCTTTTTCTCTGCTTACTAAATTTATTTATTTATTTATTTATTTATCTATTTATTTATTTATTTATTTATTTATTTATTTATTTATTTATTTATTTGTTTCTCTTTTTTGTGAAGGAGCAGATACACCGCACCGGGGTCGATTGGGGTGTACGTACACCCCGATACACTACAGAGAAAAAAACAAAAAAGTTTTTTTCTTCTTTTCTTTGCTTCAGCAGCAGCAATCGTTGCTGCTGCTGCTGCTACTGTTGCTGCTGCTGCTGCTGCTGCTGCTGCAATACTTGCTGCTGCTGCAGCAACTGCTGCTGCTGCAGCAAGGCGACTCCCCATGCATGGATATTAATAATATGCATATTGTTATATATGTATATATATATATTCATATATATATATATATGAATATATATATTTATATATATAAATATATATAAATGTATAGTTACATATATTTATATTTATATATATATTTTTTATAAAAGAGAAGATGCAGTCTGTCTTTGTGGTTTTGTTTGTTTACTTATTTTATTTTTATTTAATTATAAGCAAATAGAAAAAAACTAAAACCAACAAAACAAAATAAAAAAAGAAGAAAAACAAAAAAAAATATAATATGCACAAAACCCTAAACCCTAGACACTGCAGCGGCCTACCCCCCAAAAAGCCAAAAGGAGATATCGCCTTCTATGCACCTCTGTGCTGCTGCTGCTGCTGCTGCTGCTGCTGCTGCTTGTGCTGCAGCACTGGTAACAGCAACAGCAGCAGCAGCAGCAGCAGCAGCAGCAGCAGCAACAGCGTGTAGTATCGGCGTTGCAGCAGCACAAGTGTGTCTGCTTGCTGCTGCATTTCGAGAAGAGCGATGAAGACGTTACGATAGTTGTTTTTAAGCACTAATTTATTTTATTTATTTTATTTATTTTATTTTTTTTTTTATTTTATTTATTTTATTTGTTTTATTTATTTTATTTATTTATTAATTTGAGTTGAGGATGACTCTTGCTGCGGTTTTGGGGTGTAAAGACGAAAGAAAAATGCATACAGCTGAGAGCTGCCTATACACCTGAGAGCTGCCTATACACCTGAGAGGTGCCTATACACCAGAGTATCGACGCACGCAGGGCTTGTATAAGTTTAATATAAGCATAAATATATTTAAATATATTTAGAATTGAGGTGTATGCACAGGTAGGGGGATCAGCAGCAGCTGAAAGGGGTATTATGTTGGGGTGTATCGGCAGCTCGCTTGCGGTGTATGTAGATGCGCGCGGCTGCTGCGGTGTTGTTGTGTGTATTTTTGTTTGTTTCTGAGATATAATAAAAATAAATAAAAGAAAATAATTAATTTTAATTGAATTTATGTTTAAAATAAAGTTTTTTTGGTAAGAAAAAGAGCAGGATGACTCGGTTGGTGTGTGTATAGAGAAAACACAGGCGGCGCGGTACGCTTGCGGTGTATGTACAGGTGAGGTGTGTGCGTTTGTTTTGGTTATTTTAATTAATTTAAATCAGAAATAAATATTAATATGTATATACAACTAAAATAAAAAGAAAAAAACAAATTAAATCACGCAGAATATACAGAACAAGCAGCAGCATCGCTGGTGGCGCCGCAGCAGCAGGCCAGCTGTATATAGATATATGAATTGCTGGGGTGTATAGGGAGGTCTATCTGTATAGTTTAATATTTAGAAGGGTTTTTAGTTATTTAAAAAACAAATAAAGCAAAAGAAAGTAAAAAAATAGAGAAAAAAAACAACAAAGTGCAAGCTGCAGCAGCAGCAGCAGCAGCAGCAGCAGCGGCGCGTACGCTACCGCCTCATCGGGTTGCTGCTGCTTGTCTTTGTTGTTTTTTGTTTGTTGCAGTTTGTTTCTGTGGATTGTTTGTGGTTTATATAAATAAAAAGAAGTAATATATATGTAAAAATTTATATTAAAATAAATTAAACAAGCTGCGGTGTTTGTTTTCCCTCTTTTTCTCTCTCACCCATCGGGGGTGTCGGCGATGCTCTTCTCTCCAGCACGGCAGCAGTGTATTTGGTTTGTTGTGTTTTTTGTTTTTTTGTTTCTTTCTTGTTTCTTCTGTATATATATATGAATACCCCTTTTTATTATTATCTTATAAAAGGCATTAAAGGAGTCCAAAAGAAAAAGAGAAAAGGAGAGACAGCAGCACGCCAACACAGCAGCAGCAGCAGCAGCAGCAGCAGCAGCAGCAGCAGCAGACAGCAGCACAAGGGGGCCCTCTGCTGCTGCTGCTGCCACCCCCAGGCGTCCGTCTATACACCTCAGGACGTTTAGTAGGATGCAGATGCATTCTTTGTTTCTGTTTTTTCTTGTTTGTTGTAATACCAATTGAAATAATAAATATTTAATTTATTTCATTCTTTTATATAAACAAACCCCAACACTTGCAGCTCTTTATACGCTCATCTTTACTCTCAGGCCTCACCGCAGCAGCAGCAACCGGCTCTGCCATAGAGATGCGTTGCGGTGTGGTGTACGTACACCCCAGATGCTCTCCTCTTCTAGTCAATAAAAACTTCAGTTTATATTTTATAAACTCTATCTAAAACGCATGCAAACGCAACCCTAAATACAGCAGCAAAAAACCATCGCCGCCGGCGTCCCTCCACCCTACCACCCAACAGGCAGCAGCAAGGGGGCCCGATTTTGAGTGCTGTCTGTTTATCTGCTGCGAAATATATAATTAAATTCATTTTTATTGTATTTCTTTTGAATAGAGCTGCTGATTAAGCTCTCATACACCCCCTTTATATACCGCAGCTGCGCATACACCCCGCCGCCGTGCTGGGGTGTATAGGCAGCTATCGATAGCCTCCTCTTCTCATGGTGTAGCTGGGGGCCCACTGACATTTCTTTTTTTCTTTTTATTTTTTTTATTTATATAAATTTATTATATACAGCCGACAGAAAACAACGAAACTCTTTTTTTTCGCCGTATATACCGCCAGCCGCCACCTGCTGAGACACCCCAACTGCACATACACCGGAGCTGCCTATACACCCCAAATTCACCCTTCATTCTCCGCTTAAACAAATATTTTATAAACCAATATCCATTAACTCCTCAGGAAGAAAACGAAGAACAAAAGAAACAACAAAAAGGAGCAGTGTAAAGAGGCAAAGAACAAAAACAAAAAAACAAAAAAAAAAGATAAATACAACAAAAAACAGAAACAGCAGCAGCAGCAGAAACCACAACCAAAATAACAGCAGTAATAAACAAAACAAGGAAAAGGAGAAAGGCAAAGGGGGAAAGAAGAAATATAAATAAATAAATAAATAAATAAATAAAAAATAAAAAAGAAAAAGAAAAAGAAAAAGAAAAAGATACAGACCCGGGCGCTATGGGTCTGGCGTATAGGCGGCCCTGAGGAGCAGCAAGTTTCTTAGTTTTCGCTTCCTGCAGCAGCAGCAGCAGCTGCTGCAGCTGCTGCTGCTGCTGCTGCTGCAGCTGTTGCTGTTGCTGCTGTTGCTGGTTGGTTGCAGCATTGCTGCAGCAGACAGTGCAGCAGTGTTTATATAAAAAAATATTTTATTTATTTTATTTATAATGAGCGAACACAGACTCTCCATTCCTCTCCCTGTCTTCGATGCTGAGCTCGAGGCCAAGGCGTTCACAGCCAAACACCAGCAGCAGCAGCAGCAGCAGCAGCAGCAGCAGCAGCAGCAGCAGCAGCAGCAGCAGCAGCAGCAGAGGGGGGATGATGGGTGCGATTATGGAGATATAGCTTCTGCTGCTTCTTGTGTATGTTCAGCAGCAAACGCACAGGCAAAGCTTCCTGCTGCTGCTGCTGCTGCTGCTGCTGCTTCTCTTTTGGGGGGTTCTTCGTTGCATGCGTTGCTGCAGCTGGACGAGGCAATTCGGCCGCACAAAGACAGCGCAGCAGCAGCAGCAGCTGCTGCTGCTGCTGCTGCTGCTGCAGCAGCAGCAAACAGCAGCAGCAGCAGCAGCAGCAATGGACGCAGCAGCGCGCTGCTGCTGCAGGACACCATTGCTGCTGCTGCTTCGCCAGAGGCAGGCTATATCTCCTCTCCCTTAGCTTCAGGCTCCCCAACAGAAGCAGCAGAAGGGCTGCAGCAGCAGCAGCAGCAGCAGCAGCAGCAGCAGCAGCAGTTGCAGTTGCAGTTGTTGCTGCAGCAGCACCGCAGCAGCAGCAAACAAACTGCAGCAACAAACACAATAGACATACACCACCACCACCATCAACAGCAGCAGCAGCAGCACCACCACCACCAACAGCAGCAGCAGCAGCAGCAGCAGCAGCAGCAGCAGCGCAGCAAACAAACAACAGC